TGCAACAATTTCTCCCACACATAAATACCCTTTCACTATCAACCCTGGTGCCTCCTCCCCTACAAATTCAACACACACATACCCTGTCACCTTGTCTGTGAGCCTTTGTCCTCTTATCTCCTCCACATCCATCTTTCCTTCTGTCTTAGGAGCACTATTCTCTCTTTTGCTGTGCATTTAATTTTAGGTCACTTGGTTGGCGATATTATTTATAGTATAATTATATCTGGGGAGACATGCAGCTTATTAACTCAAAATCTTTTAACTTATCTTTTAAGCTGTGCTCGTGTTGATGAGTCATTCTGTTGGCAGATTAATTTGTGGAGTAGGTAGACTTGCTCCATTTTATACCTAGTGAAAGTCTCAAGGATGGGAAGAGTCCGAGATGTGCTTCTATGTTTTGATGGAAGCTTTGAGGTACCCAGAGGGACATGGTAATTTCTTTTTGTTTAGAGTTTATGTGAAGCTGGTGAGTCTGTTATACCACACCCAGAGCTGCTGCTCAAGTTCTAGTTAAACATCTCTGCTATGTGCAATACTAAGCATTTTACATATACACTTTATTTTCTTCTTGTAGCAATTCCACTGCACAGCTATTTTTATACCAATTTTACACGTGGAGAACTAGAGCTTCAGCTTAAACTGCCTTCCCTGATGAAGAATTGGGAAATAGCACTTGGATCAGGTTGGTGTGGGTCTAATGTTCACACAAACCCACTACATTGTTGTAGTTTATGCAAATCAATGCATTTTCAGTGTGTCAATTTTAGATGAGCATTTAGAAAGAGCGGTGACTTAAATGGAATGAGTCTGGCTGAAGCATCATGCAAGTGTTGACTTATATCCACTAGTCACGCAACACACAGAACGGCCCTTCATCTCCTTGGAGCCTTGTTTTTCTCAGTAGTGAGTCCAATAAAGCTTTCCATAATGCAGCATCATGGGTGTTTTCAGTGTGCAAGTACCCAAAGATGCATCACTTAGCAATTCACCTGCAGATATTTCTGTATTACTATTGGCTTGGCTGCATTTACTTCTGGTTATTGTCCTTCTGAATTGTTCTGTAGTTTAGATAACACGTCTCCACAAAGTCAAGAACAAAAGCTTTTGACAAAATGTTGAAACCATTTCAGATGGGAACATGGCTGAGTCAGTGGAGCAGGCTGCCAAGACCAGGTGGGGAAGTAGCTACTGCCTTGGGGCACTTGGCTCCCAAGGCTCCCCTTGCCAGGGCCTCCTGCCTTGATGAAGTTGGGGGAGTTTGTTGATATATAGCTTGGCAGGCATAAGTTGACATGTTTTTTTCAGGATGGAAGAAGAGTTGCATATGAGACAAGAAGGTTTCCAGGTAAGAGAAGAACAGATGTCCTGAGTAATAGAAGTTCTAGAGAGACACAAGGAATGTACATGTTATTACAGCAATTATTCTAGAGAGAGGGGAAAGGGGGCGAGGAAATGAGAAAAGGAGAAAAGTGGACATCGAAGTATTTATACTAAGTCTTTGGAGTTGGAGAGATGACTTCTACAGACAGAAAGAAAGGAAAAGGGAAGGAGGAACAAAGACTTTTCTGTCACCTAGGCACCTAAAAAGATGGACAACCATCCAGTAAGATCTGGGAAGCAGGAGGAGACCTATGGATGAAAGGATATTCCATGAAGTAACTTGTGGTTAAGCTGAGTCTGCGGGAGCTCCTATAGACACACAGGATGTAAGAGAAGTCTGACATGGCATGCTGACACTTGTGTGTAATCAGTACAAGTGACAACAGAAGCTATGAGCATGAAGGAACTCCTCCAGGAAGAGAACAGAGGGAGGCTGGAATAAGTTTTAGGGTAGTGCAATGAAGATCACCAGCACACAAGGCAGAGGAACACATGGTAAAGGAAAAATACTTCTGGGTGGTAAAGGAAATGTTCTGATGAACAAGGATCAGAGATCTTCAGGAAGCTTCCACTAAAGAAAGAAAACCACCAAACAGGAAACTCAGTCAAATAAGATAATCTTCAAGGACGTGTATGGATAAAAATGTCATAATGAAGCCCAGTCATTGTGTACACTGAAAATTTTAATTAAAAAAACCCCAAACCCAAACAAAACCAGCCAAACAAAAACAAGACAATGTTTACCAGTTTTGCTGCTTATAGGCAACTTTTTTCAAGTGCATAAAATATGATACATGGCTCAGTAGAAAAAAATGACTGACCCCACCCAACAATATGGGCTTGAGCAGATACGATACTTTGAACTTCATAGTAACATCAATAAATCAAATTAAAAATAAGTAATTCATGTACAGCAGAAGCTTAAATGCCAGGGTATCCTAAAGAAAAATTCACTTTGGCTTTTCATAGCTCCAGCATGCATTTTGCAGCAAATATTTCCATTCAAAAGGAGAGTGGGATGCTGGGGAGCTTTAGGAAAGTAGTATTCTGCCATCCCAAAGGTAAAGACATGTGTCTGTACTAGGCAGATTCCTATCCAGGTAAAGCTTGTTTTCTATCAATTCTTGATGGATGTGCCCTGCAGTGATGCCTGGCACCTCACCATAGTTGGCCTTAAAGATAATTTAAGGAATTAAGGAACTCTGTTTCTAACTATAGGATTACCTGCCAATTTCATTTGAGCAAGACACTAGATTAACTATGAAGATGTTGGCAATGTTGGCAGAAATGGTGAAACCAGAGTCGGAAGCTGTGAGTTCTGACACACTTACTGATTTCCCATCTTTGTTTAGTGAGTGTGGAATGGCTGCGTATTCCAAACACACTGTGGCGTATTTTGCAGCGCTGTGCTCTTACCCTGCAAGGAATTGTCACGAAACATGACAGAATCCGCTAATAAGAGTTTTATTAAGATAAAAGGGACAGAGAGTGCTCAGGCCTGTGGGAGACACATGTATAGAGAAGAAGAAGGAGCCGGGAATATGGAGCCAGCTTACAAAGGCTGGGCGTGCACAGGTCGATGTAACTATTCCACACATGTGCATAGATCACATGGCTATGCTGCGCACTTACATAAACATGCAAAGTCATGGATCCTGGTTATGAGAGACGCCTTGACCCGGAAATGGCTATCTTGACCTGGAACTGGCTAGGCGGAAGTGTCCAGGTCCGCCGGGCATGCGCAAACACACCCAACCGTGGGGGCGTGTTGTGAACCCTTCACACTGGAGTTTGGAGCTAAAGAAAATACAGTAACTTTCTTAGGTTTTGGGTCTTTACTAACAAAGCAAAAGTCTAATCTTGGGAAAGTTTTGGGTTATTATTTTTCATATCACCAGGGAACTATTTAAAACTTAAACTCAATGATAAAAATCAATAATCTTGACATTGTATAAAACAAAGCTGATAGTACCATACATGACTACAGTATCAGGACATGATGCTTGATTTAAGGTCTTATTTCTGGTCTCTTATTGTCCTCTTCCTTCCTGATTTGAGATAGTCCTGAGAGATAGTATACACACTGGTGCAACTAACTATCCAAGAAAGAAGAAGAAAGCGGGACAATAAGGAAGAGAAAGACTCTGAATTAATATACAAATTCACAAAATCGCTATTGCACTGGAATAAAGAGAGATGGTTTGGAGCGGTAATGGGTACTTCCAGAGGCCTTTCTGTGTCCTGGGAACTGTGCTACCAGGTCTAAGGTCATTTCTTTCTTTTTCTTGAGCAGGGGTGGGGGTTGGGGGTAGGGAGCATGGTGAGGGGTTGAGACAGGGTTTTTCTGTGTAGGCTGTCCTGGAACTCAGAGAACTCAGCCTCCCAAGTGCTGGGATTAAGGTCAGGTATTCCTTAAGGAAACTCAATCTGACTTCTGTAAAGAAGTTGCTGAGGAGTGAGTGCCTCAGTATCAAGGTGTCAGGCACCAACCTGTGTGTTTGACACAAAGAAAACAACCAAATGTTTACTTTGCGTTCTTACCCCCAGCAGACAAAGGGTCATTCAGCAGAAGGGGGTGCGAGTGGGGTGAAGATCTGAAAGGTCCGTATATACTCTGGCAAGTTCAATGTGTCTCATTCTAGGTTATTCACTATTGTAAAGGAAGAAAGGAATCCTGGTAATCTATGGGGTAATGCATCCCTCTCTACCCTTCCTTCCCCCCCCCCCTCCCCGGCAATAGAACACCAGCCTTGTGCATGGGAGGCAAACACTCAGCAAACCAAACTCTAATAAAAAGAGATTTAAGTGATGGGAAATAGGTAGCTTGCATATAGCATTTGGAATTTTTTTTCTCTTAAGACTTTACTTCTCTCACTTGCAAATCAGCACACCTATTCAGGAAATGGTTCAAGTCTCAACAGTTACATATGGTTGTAGCAACCATGAGTGTTTTGCTTGTGAGTGAATGATGGAAACTTTGCAACACATGAGGCAGATAGACTATTTATTATCTTACTAACTAAACCGTGGGCCTAGTAAAAGTACAGCTGGACCTCAAAGATGACTGAAATTCGAATGTGTCCAGGAGGCCCCTCCCCTGCTTCCTTGTTTCTGGAATTGTTTATCCTTATAGTTTTCTCCTTGGAGTTAAAACACGGCTATTTAGCATCTAAATTTCAACTCCAAGACAATCCTGAGATTTTAAATGAAAAGTTTTTCTAGGAAATGCAGTGACTGCTTCAAACTAGATTTGGTACCCAGTTTGTAACAAGCAGTGATCCAGGGTTCCTTGAGTCATGACTAGTAGACCACTTAAGCTGGGAACCAGGCACTCACAAACATAGTCCACAAGGTCTGTAAAATAGGATCAACTTCTTAAAACCTCTGGGCTACAATGACTAAAGCTCATTGATAATTTTTAACCATCTACAGTTTTCCAAAAACCAAAAGCGGGTCTGTGTCAAAAGGCACAGTGGCATGTATTTGTAATCTCTGCCCTTGGGAGATTCAGAAAGGAGGATCTTGAATGTGAGAGACCATGCTGGGCCTCAGTTTACAACAAAACAAAGTAAACAAAACCAAACAAAAGCTGTTTATATTCTATCCTCATCACCTACCTACTATCTTTGTGACCCCGGGCAAATGATTCAAGGCCTTCTACCAAAATTCCAAAATTCCGTAGAGCTGCAGTGATAATGGTACCCACCTCATACAGACGTGGAGGTCAGAGTTCTAGAACTGACTGTTCCCCCCACCACCAGAAACTGACATTTGATCACAGCTCTCCTCTGCTAATTGTAGCCTCAGTTCCTCAGGGTTCCAAGGCCAGGGTCCCAGCACTTCCCTGTCTTCTGTGCTTTGTTTGCATCCGGTCTTCTGAACTTTCTTCCTTCACAGTGTTTGAGTTTTCTCCATTTCCCTCTGCCGCCGCCATATTGCAAGAGGCCTACTGAGTGTTCATGTGATGCAGTTATAAGCACCTGCCTTCAATCTCACCTCTGTCTGAACTTTCTCTCCATTCTCCCCGACACCTCTAAATGTCACTTTCATTCTCTTTGAAGTAGCCTCCAATTTATTACTCTAAATAAAAAAAAGATAAAGTTGTTTTCTGCTATCTTGAGCTACTTAATTTTGAGTTTTCCTTACAATTTTAACTTTAGGAAGAGAGTGATGTTAGATTAGTTAGAAAAAAATATGATACCATTATAAACTACTACTTGTGATACAGTATATATACATAAATATCCTATGCTTCAGCAAATTTGTTTATGAAAAACATATATGTATATAGCAATACATTGCTTTACCAATACAAATGCTCTTATATATAATTAACAGACTATATTGAGAGCATTATTTTGTAAGTTCATTATATATACATTGATGTAAATATGAATTGTATTGATATAGCTCTTTATGAATTATTTATGAAAAAGCAAAATTATAAATTAAGTCCTACCTGTTTATTTAAAAATAAGTTTGTAGTAGTTAAATTTTGCTTACTTTTAGTTAAATGGAAATTTAAATATATGCCTTGGGTCACTTTTTCTTGCTCTAGGAGGGCTTTAAAGAAGGAGTTGTAGAATTCTTTAAGCAGGGCAGTTATATCCAGTCATGAATGTGCTTATGAAGAAAAAGCTGGTTGGGAGTTAGGATGATAACTCATTGAGTAAAGGACTTATGCAACTATGAGCACCTGAATTCCCCAAGAATCTATGTTTAAAAAAGCCAGGCCTGGTAGCACACACCTGTAATCACAACATTGGATAAGCAGAGACAAGCAGATTCCTGTGAGTCACTGGCCAGCCAGACTAGCCTACTTGGCAAGTTCCAGGCCAGTAAAAGACTCTGTCTCAAAATAAGTAAATACCAAGTAAATCAATAAATAATGTTAGTGGTGCCTGAAGAACCACACTTCAGGTTATTCTTTGATTTCTACAAGCCGGCGTGAGCACCTGTAGGCGCGCGCGCACGCGCGCACGCGCGCGCACACACACACACACACACACACACACACACACACACACATTCACAAATACAAGTTGATTGCATTTAGATCAATATGTTTGTTGGGATGAATGTTTGGATGAAAGCAGCAGGTGAATTTCAGGTGAATGTCAGCTAGAAAAACCCCTCACACACTCCTTTCTTCCTATTTGAGTTTTTTTCAGGTTTTCCTTGTTTTTTTAAGAAAATGTGATGAGATGATAGTTTGTTTCTAATTGATAAGAAATCAGGGGGTAAAAGCCCAGAATTTTGGTTTTTGAAAGGTTGTAGAATGAATCCTTGAGTAATTAAAAAGGAACTAGTTATCTTTTGAACCAGTAAGACTTCAACGCGTAGCTAGAGATAAAACATCCATGTGCTTTTAAGCGCTGGCTCTTTCTTAGGAAATATAGCATGGGTATTCATTCTCAATATTGTTTAAAATGACTCTGAAGGGGTTTGTATATTTTAAAGACCACTAATTGAAAACTTGAGACAAAATAAAAACAAAACAAACAACCCAACTGAACTCAAAATCTTACCTATTATTCTAAAATGTATATCTTTAAATTTTTCTTAAGTTATCATAGCAGCCTCTTAAATATAGGTGTTCTCTCTATATAAAATAAGTATATATTTATGCTTTTCAATGCATATCAATGTTCTTCCCTTTTGAGTGCTTGTTGAGTGGTGTGAAGTAAATACCGTGATGCACATGTAAGTTTACTGCTTAGAATTTTGGCACCCTGACACAAGAAGAGGGGAGAGAAACCCCAATCAAGAAGATGCTTGCATCAAATCAGCCTACAGGCAAGTGTGTGAGGCATTTCTTGATTAAGAATTGATGTGGGAGTGCCCAGCCCACTGTGGAAGTTGCCACCACTGAGTAGGTGATCCTGGGTTGTATGAAAAAGCAGACTAGTGAACCATGAGGATCAATCCAGTAAGCATCATTTCTCTATGGTCTTCTTCAGTTGCTGCCTCCAAGTTCTTGCCTTGCATTCCTGCCCTGATGCCCCTTTATGAAGGACTGTGACCGAGAATTAGTAAGCCAAATAAGCCCTTCCCTTCCTATATTTAGGGAATGCTTTCTCGCTTCTATTAACCTAATGTAGATAAGCCGTAAGCCATCTGAGACACACCTGGAGGCTAATGTCTTCAGTGAATCTAGACCCTGTCAAGTTGACAGTCAATATTAATCATTACACTTGATTTGTGGAACAACAAAGCAATTTATAATTTATCTCTGTTCTATTTATGTTAGTACTTATAGCTGTACAATTTTTTTTTTTTTTTGTTTTCAAGACATGGTTTCTCTGTGTAGCCCTGGCTGTTCTGGAACTCTCTTGTAGATAAGACTGGCCTGGAACTCATAACTCTGCCTCCTTAGTGCTGGGATTAAAGTCATGCACCACCATTGCCTGGTAGTGTACAAAATTCTTAAAGCATTTGTTATGCCTCATATCACATATGTATATAATTCAAGGTTCTTGGAGAAGAAAGAAGGGTTTAGTCTGATTGAAACTTTATACGTGCACAGAATCATAATTTGGGAAGTAAAACCCAATATAGGCTTCATTCTGTGACTGACATTGCCATCAAGACCTTTCCTTCACACAGCTTGGCATTCCCTGGCATTGTCTCAATTCTTGGATAGGTTTTCTTTTCTTTCTTTCTTTTTTTTTAAGTTTAATTTGTATTCTTAATTCTGTGTACAAGTGTATTTTTTACAAGTATGTGCCTGTGAGTGCAGTTGCATGTGCAGGTCGGAAGAGGGCCTTGGATTTGGAGTTACAGGAACACTAGGAACTGAACTCTGGTCCGCTGAGAGAACAGTATACACTCTTAACTGCTGAGCCATCTCCAGCCCTGGATAACTTTTCTTCTAGGAAACAAACTGGCATATAAGGTCTAGTTTTCACATTATAAAAACCAAAACAATAAGGTATGAAAACAAGTGAGCCTTTTAATTTTCACCAAGGCCAGGTTTTATCATCACATCACAAAGCATAGTCTTATTGCACACTGCTCAATAGAATCCACAAATTCTGATACCTTGAATAAATCAGAAGTGGGTGTGACTAAATTAACTTGACCTATGTTTGCAATGATGGTTTTGATAATGGAAATGGGAAAAGTCTACCCATTGAATTAAGTTGTATGAGGAGATTAAAGCACTTTGTCAACTCGAGTTGAAGGCTGGAGAAGGTTGGGTTCCTTTTAGTAGACTGGTATTTCTACTAATGTGGAATGATGTAATAGGAGAGGCAAAACACCTTAGCTAAAAATTTCTCCTGTCCCTGGTAACAGATGCTCAAACATGAATGTAAGAGCTCTCTGATTCTTTACCTCACATCTGACTTTTGTTAAAGCATTGATATATTCTCAAATTTTGTGTAAAGGATAGTTCCTAATGGTGAATGAAGGACCAAACAACAGAATAATGCTGCCCCAAGAACTGTTGGACAAGGAAGAGTGAGGGTGTGCGGGTATGGGCAGATGTGGCCTACCAGGCAGGGGATTGTGTGTAGTCAAAACTGCTTTTGTTGTAGCATTGCCTAAGGTTGAAGTAGGAACATTTAATCTATGAAGCCTTCAAAACAGAGCCTAATTCATTTCTAGCCAAAGAGAAGTGCCATTGAAGATGATGACAAGTAGTTCTAGGAGCTAGAGAAGTTTGGAGAGGATGAATACTCAGGGCTCTCTGGTGGAGTCAGAAGGAAAAAAAAAAAGAAGTGAAAGAATCCAAGGAATTTCAACTAAGTCACATTTACACACACACAAAGGAAGGTTTAGATTGTCACATGCACCTTAATTATATACTCACACAGAGTGGTGAATTTGGGCTCCTAAGTCACCATAATGGTCTAATAGTGTTATTAATAACAAATTAAATATAACCGAGGTGCTCCACTACAGGGAGGACAAAAGATATTGAGGACCCCACAATTAAACCAGAATGTATTCTCTTGCTAGTACAAACTAGGTGTGTCCTGGTTGAGGGAGTGAGGCTGCCTCAAGTACCTACTTGTAAGAACAGTTACAATCCTTCCTCCACAATGCAGGTGTGTTTAAGGAAGTGCTGAGATAGTATCTACAAGGAATTATGATCTGAAGAAATACTAAAAAAAAAAAAAAAAAAAAAACCAGCTTCGTTTTGCATTACTATTGCCCTGTGAATCACCCAACAGAAGTACAGCCAATCCTGCCATGGTGAGGTTTGGCAACTCCTACCATAACAACAATGGAAAGTTGGGACATGAATCAGGTTGAGTGAACTTAGTTTATCCTTAGAGCTGTCGACCTTTTTTTTTTCCTAAATGCCTGTCAAGGATGGTTATTTCTCCCAAAGCAACTCACAGTCTCTGCTTGCCTCTCTCCACTACTGGCCCCAAAAGAAGAACAGAGTTGGGTACACACAGAAAAATATCTACACCAAATAAGGGCAAATGAGCTGAATGTGACTAGTCATAACACAGCAGCTACAGGTCTAGAATCTCCAAGAAAATGACAGGGTACATGCAGAGTCTGAAGGCCAGCTAGTGAATCTGAGTGGAAGATATCTTTACTAATCAAAAGCAGAATGCAGCTTTCAGTTTCAGCTAAGTATTTTCTGGGACCCCCACCTACTGCTTTCTACTGGGTGGGAGTAGGAGACAGTGATGTCATACTTCTCAGAAATCT